GGGGGGGGGGGTGCAGCAGAGAGTGTAATCACAATGTCATGAGGGTGAAAACTGCTCCTCTGGACAGGGGAAGAAACCAAATCACCAAGGAGAAGAGAATAAATAATGATATTATAATATACACACATATTGTGTTCGTGGAGAAGAGATGTTATGACTTGTATTTTGAAGAAAAGCAATTATTCAAAATGAAGACAATATTCAGAGTTTGTCACGGTATTATGGAATAAAGGAAAGGGGAAATCCCACACGTCTATTTCGGGCAGTAGAGGTGCCCAGTTTGTTGATACGATATACCTGCAGGGGCTTTCCTTTCTGGCTCTCTGTACTCATCGTCTGAGAAGACATCAGGCTTAATTATGCACAGATGTTATACACCACTGACTACTTTCTGATTACGGAGTTAGCTGCTTCCTGCAGATGTGTTATATGAATGATGGACACACGACAATTTTCACTAGGTTAAAATCTGTTGTTTACTGTATGCAAGACTTAAATCCGAAGACACACACACACACACACACACACACACACACACACACACACACACACACACACACACACACACACACACACAAACACACACACACCCGCACACACACATACACACACATACACACACACACGCACACTGAAGACATTAATTTGAAACGGCCACGTCCACAAACATGGAAGGGTTTGGTTCAAAATCTCATTCAAAGCCTTTAGGCTTTAAAGCAAGATAGCCATCATTATTGCTCCGAGATCTAAAACAAATGTACAAATAGACCAACAATATTGTGCGTACATAACCCACATGCTACACATCTCTGTCCCAGTCACATCCGTTAACTTGAATATCATCCTAGACCGGGCACTGTCATCGCCGCCGTTCGCTCAATGTTCTCTCTAACAACTTTGCTGCAAATTTTGGGCAAAACACCAGTCTCACATTATAGTCGAACGTGCACGCAACCTTTCCCTTCTTTCCTTTCATTTGGTTCCAAGTAGAGTCAAATAGTGCTCTCCTTTGAGAACCAGATTTAGACCAGGGAGGACTATTTTGGACATACAACACAATGAAGTCTCTGCTCACATCACACAACACGCCAGAGCCCCAGACAACGACCAAACCGAGGATACCGTCCGGAACTATAACGATTTATTTTTTGGATGCCTTTGTCCAGACCCACACTTACCTACAGGTGCTTGCCCTATGCCCCTCCGACCCCGGGGCATTCGTTGTTTCTTGCCGACTGAGGAGACACAGAGAGAGAAAAAATAATAAAGTTAACGCAGTGTTTACATGCAAGCTGAAAAGACGAAGTCCATTCTTCACTGGTTGACTATAAGGAGACGCACATGAGGAAAAAATCCAATCATATCAAATTAACGTAGTGTTTACGAGGTAAACTGGAACGATGGAGTCCATTCGTTGTTTATGGACTCAGCAGACATGTATTTAGACAATCACAACTAAATTCACGTATTGTTTACATGTCAGACTGAAATGACGAAGACGATTGGTCATTTGCGAACAGGGGAGACACACAGACGAAAAAAAAAATCAAAGTCAAAGCCGTGTTTACATGGCCAGCTGGAAAGAAGAAAACCATTCGCTCAATGTAAAAAAAGCCTGATTTACAATTGAAATTAGAATGCCAATCAACAGACAAACTGAAAAGATGAAGATAATTTTCCCTTAGCGTGCAGAAGACAAACAAACAAACAGGCAGACAAACAAACAAAAGCCACAGTTGAATCGATGCGATGTTTACGTGGCAAACTGAAAATAAAGACCATCCGTCATTTTCTGACCAAGGAAACTTATATGGGAAAACAGATCTATGATAAGAGTTAAGGTGGTGCTTTCGTGGAAAACTGGAAAGGTGAAGACAATTATTATTATTTTAGTGTTTGTGGATATATAAGAACCTCACCAAAAAATATCATCAAAGTCAACTCTGTGTAATTATATGGCAAGCGGGCGAGGTTAAAAAAAAATATTGTATACTTTTAACTGTCATGAGAGGCTGAACCTACAATACAGCCCCAGCAAACATGACTAGAGGTATGGTAACGGCACCATGGGGACATGCTCGTATCTTTTGGTAAATTACTATTTTCAAATTAACACCACGCAGCGCCCATTGCACCTGCCCAGGATATCGGACAGCATAACGCCGGGCCGACGTTACAGACGAGAAACCACACGGTGCCACTTCAATAGTCAATAGAACGGGCACCTGGAAATGCACAAGACTACAACCGGTGTCTGGCTCGGACAGTCCACTCACACCAACACACGGCGCCATGTGATCCTTTCAGGTGGATGAGAATCACGTTCAACTACCTGTTCTATCTTTCCCCTCCCCACCCTTCTGCTTGACCTTCCCGGTGGTTTCTCGTAGTTATGAACCATATTGTCACTTCTGCACTAGCACATCAGAGTGGAAACATTTTGTTTCGTGCCCAATGTCCCAAAATGCCAATAAAGTTTCAAGATCCCAAAATATAGTATAACGGACATCTTAACAAAACTGCCCTGATTCCCAACCAAAAAGAAGAAGGGAGAAGATGAAGAGGATTAACATCTAGAGAAGAAAAAAGTGGCCTATGCATAGTCAAAAGCTCTCAATAGAGTGCCTCTCGACAGTTACTTTACGTGACTGAGCCATCCTTGCTATAGAGCTAGTCTGGAGTCTAGTCCACCTAAGACTATAGTTGGAAATAAGCGACGAGTTGAACACAAAACAGAACCATTGGAGGTAAACAATTTAATAGGCAATTAGGGTTAGAGCCATGCTGACAATGCATGTACTGAATGTAACTAGAGACATATTTGATGATAATACGACTGATGACATACGATTCAATAAATGTACCGTTCAAAAACAATCTTATCCCTCCTTTGTAAGCAGCAGAAAAGCAAAATGGGCTACCAAAGTCTTCGCTTTTCGTTTTGTGGACAATCGGTGAAATCGCTGATTAGCCAGGTCGGTCCGGTCCGGTTCAATTCGGTTCGGTATTATTAATACCCGGTGCCCATTGGTAAGATCCATTCTGTTCGGTTCGGTTTGTCGGTTTCGTCGTTTGAGGCTAGCCGGATTGTCTTCTATGTGAGAGGCAAAACCGACCAAACCGATGATGACCTTCAATAACAAATGTGTTTGTTTTCAAGGCCGTCCGAGCGTCGGGTGATTGGTGTGGGCAATTGGTCTGTCGCCAGAAACCGAACAGAACCGTCGTCGTCAGACTTTTACAGACGAACTGTTATCATTATTATAACTAATATATTTTTCTTCTTCTTCTTCTTCTTCTTCTTCTTCTTCTTCTTCTTCTTCTTCTTCTTCTTCTTCTTCTTCTTCTTCTTCTTCTTCTTCTTCTTCTTCTTCTTTTCTTCTTCAATAGTAGTAGTAGTAGTAGCAGCAGCAGCAGCAGCAGCAGCAGCAGCAGCAGCAGCAGCAGCAGCAATAATAAATATTACTTTACTTATATGACAACCAGATACACACAAACCATTTTTGTCCTTATTTCTTATTCCTATTACTACCGATACTATTGCCATAGTTTGATGATGATGATGATGATGATGATGATGATGATGATGATGATGATGATGATGATGATGATGGTGATGATGATGATGATGATGATGATGATGATGATGACGATGATGATGATGATGCATGATGATGATGATGATGATGATGATGATGATGATGATGATGATGATGATGATGATGATGATGATGATGATGATGATGATGATGATAGTACTGATAGTAACAGAAATAAAAATAAAGACAAAAAAGGTTTGTGTGCATCTGGAAAAAGTTGTGCCAAATAGACTCTTACAGCATATTAAAGCAAATAATTCTATCAAAGTTTATTAGTCAGCATACACATTTAAGGCACACTAGAACCGTGACAGCGTTGCTTAAGGTCTGTACTGATATTTTTAAAGGAATTGATGAAAGGCAGTGTGTCTTCTTACTCTTTTGGACCTTTCGGCTGCATTCGATACCATTGATCAAGACAGTTTACTCGAGAACCTAAGTACTCATTTTTGCGTAAAAGGTGCTGTCCTGTGACGGTTTGAGTCGCGAACACAAGCAGTTGTGGTTGGAAGCACGTGTTCAGATAATGTTTTACTCAGATTTTCGTTTGCCCGGGGTCTGTTCTTGGACCTTTCTTCTTTACAATGCACATACAATCTATTGCTGATATTTTAAGACAGTATGGGATGAATTAAATCTTTATGCTGATGACACTCAGATTTATGAGTCTATTGATTTCGATCAAATATCTCTTTTACTCGATTCTACTGAGAAATGTATTCGGGAATTAAAAATATGGATAACCAGTAATAAATTGAAACTGAATGATGACAGGACGGAAATAATGTTGAATAGAAATACATGTACAAAAGCCATTATCAATCTCCCAGAACTACAAATTGACATAAATAATCATACCATTCGTTCAAAAAGAAGTCTCAAAATCTAGGGGTTCATTTGAGTTATGATATGTCTATGTCCTCCCAAATTAGCATGCTCAGCAAAAGTATCTATTTTCAGCTGAAAAGGATCGACAGTGTAAGAAATTATTAAACTAAAGCAGCAGCCAAGACATTGGTAACAACACTTATTTTTGTTAAACTTAGATAACTGTATTGCTGCTTTATCCGGTCTGACGGGCGAAAAACAATCACAGGTAAAAGTGCTCCAAAATTAATCAGCAAAACGATAATGAAACAACAGAAATCAGCGCACGTAACACTTATTCTGAAAGCACTACGCTGGCTGTCAGTAAAAAAAAAAATGGATCAAATACAAAACAGCCGTTTTCCGTTTTAAATGTAGGCTATAAATGATATCGCACCTATTTATCTAAAATAATCGCAGGAATTATATCGTCCATCCAGAGCCCTTAGGTCAGCCACTGACGATCTAATTCTTAGAACCACAGAACAAAATTACAAAACATACGGCGAGCGTTCCTTTTTTATTCTTTGGTCCCTATGTATGGAACGAACTCCCGTGTAAAATAAGGAGTGCCCCTACTATTCGCATTTTTCAAAAACAGCTGAAGCATTTCTTATTCACAAATGCATACATGTCATGGATGTGTATGCCCTACCGTGAGGCTGAAAAAAAATAGCGTGTGTGTGTGTGTGTGTGTGTGTGTGTGTGTGTGTGTGTGTGTGTGTGTGTGTGTGTGTGTGTGTGTGTGTGTGTGTGTGTGTGTGTGTGTGTGTGTGTGTGAGAGAGAGAGAGAGAGAGAGAGAGAGAGAGAGAGAGAGAGAGAGAGAGAGAGAGAGAGAGAGAGAGAGATTTTCTATTCATAGAGAACAAATGTTTTTATTAAATGTTTCTACTAATTCTAGCTATTGAAGTTTCAATTTTATTGTGACTGTTCGTGAGTTTTTATTGCATCCTATATTTTTAGTGAAAGCATTGCCAGGCTCAGGTCGTGGCTATTTTTCTCATAGAAATTCTTATACAATATACATTTATGCAGAATACTATGTTTTACATAATAATACACATATATCTGTTAATTTTTTAGGTGTGATATTTTTATTGGTGTAATGCGTATAGAGCATTTTCCCCCGGCAACACAAAACAACACCTAGAGTCTAGATCTAAATAAAAAATCAGTCATGTGGATTTTGTTCCCGTTTTGCAAAGGAAATTAACTCCTACCTTTTCTGTGCCCCGTATAAGATATAACCAGTGGCGTCCCTTATACCATAAATCGTAAGCCTAGTTTGTCGATTCGCATGAGATAGCACATTGGTCTGGATTGGACAATACAATGTATTGTTAAGTGAAGAACGAGGCTCTTTATTACGTTTTACGTCGATTTCAAAGCCTCAATACACTTGTTGACGATTGTCAGTTTGGTGTCCCCCCCCCCCCAAAAAAAAACTCTGAAAAGAGGACTGCACCTTGGAAAATTGACACGCTCCTTTCATTGTTTAATGCTGCGTCGTTACGGCTTACCATTCTTATTAAAGTACGAAGATATTTTTTAAAAAATCAGCAACCCAACAATAAATAAATAAATAAATAAATAAATAAATAAATAAATACACAAATAAATTAATTAATTCATAATTTAAAAACAAACAAACATAAAAAGGATAAATAAAGAAAGAAGGAAAGAAAGAAACCTAAAATTTGCTGCTGTTGTTGTTGTTGTTGTTGTTGTTGTTGTTGTTGTTGTTGTTGTTGTTGTTGTTGTTGCTCTT